CCCTCCTTCTTGATCTTTTGGAACACCTGCAGAAGGATTGGTACCATTTCTTCTTTGCATGTTTGGTAGAATTTGGCTGCGAATCCATCTGGACCTGGGCTTTTATTTTTGTCGGGAGATTTTTTTTTTATTATTACTAATTCACTCTCACTACTTGTTATTGGTCTATTCAGGGTTTCTACTTCTTCTTGATTCAAGCTTGGGAGATTGTATGTTTCCAGGAATTTATCCATTTCCTCTACATTTTCTAGTTTGTTGGTGCAGAAGTCTCAAGATGACCTTTTGTATTTCTGTGGTATCAGTTGTAATGTCTCCTTTTTCATTTCTCTTTGAGCTTCTTTGAATCTTCTCTATTCTTTTTGTGGCTAATCTAGCTAGTGCCTTGTCCATTTTGTTTATCTTTTCAAAGAACCAACTTTTCATTTTGTTGATCCTTTCCATTCTTTTTTTTTCTTTTTCTTTTTTTTGGTATAAAACATGTTTAGTTCCATTCTGATCTTTGTTATTTCTTTTCTACTGCTAGATTTGGGTCTCGTTTGTTCTTATTTTTCTAGTTCTTTGAGATGTGACATTAAGGTGTCAATTTGTGATCTTTCTGTCTTTTCCATGTAGACAGTTAGCACTATAAACTTCCCTCTTTGTACTGTTTACTGTATCCCAGAGGTTTTGATAAGTTGTGTCACTATGATCACTTATTTCAAAAAGTTTTTTAATTTCCATCTTGATTTCATTGTTTACCCAAAGATCATTCAGGAGCAGGTGGTTTAATTTTGATGTATTTGTAGTTTTGAGCGTTCCTCTTGGAATTGATTTCTAATTTTATTCCACTGTGGTCTGAGAAGATCCATGATGTCATTTCGATTTTTTAAAATTCATTAAGACTTGTTTTGTGTCTTAACATATGGTCCATCTTGGAAAATATTCCACGTGCTGTTGAGAAGAATGCATATTCTGCAGTTGTTGAGTAGAATGTTCTTTAAATGTCTTTTAGATCCATTTATTCTCGAGCCTCATTTAAGCACAGTGGTTCTTTGTTGATTTCCTGCCTCGGTGAGTGCTATCAGTGGAGTATTGAAGTCCTCCATTATTATTGTATAGTTGTCAATCTCTTTTCTTAAGTCTATTACTATTTGTTTTATGAATCTGGGAGCTCTGGTGTCAGGTACACATACATTTAGGACTGTTATATCTTCTTGTTGAATTGACCCTTTATCATTATATAATTACCTTGTCTTTTTTTTTTTTTTTTACTGTTGTAAAAAAACTATTTAAGAATAGCTACTCCTGCTCGCTTTTGGTTTCCAATGGTGGAATATTTTTTTTCCACCCCTTTACCTTGAACTTATGAAAATCTTTACCAGTTAAGTGAGTCTCTGAAAGGCAGCTGATATTTGGATTATATACTTTTATCTATTATGCCAATCTGTATCTTTTAAGTGAGGTATTTAGTCCATTTACATTCAAAGTTAATATTGATATGTGAGATACTCTTCCTGTCATTATGTTGACTGTTATCTAGTTACTTTGTATTCTCAATTGTGTTATGAACTTCTAAGCTCTGTGAGTTTTATAGTGTTTTTATAATGGCAAGTACTGACTTTTTGTTTTGATATTTAGAACTCATTTAAGTATTTCTTGTAGGGCCAGTCTAGTGGTGACATAGTTCTTTAGCATTTGGTTGTCTGGGAAGGACTTTATTTCTGCATCATTTATGAAACTTAGTTTTATAGGATACAAAATTCTTTGACGATAGTTATTCTATTTAAGAAGACTAAAAATAGGACTCCAATCCCTTTTGACTTGTAAGGTTTCTGCTAAGAAGTCTGCTGTTAGTTCAGTGGGATATCCTTTAAAGGTAATTTGATTCTCTTTCTGGTCTTTGGATTCTTTCCCTCACACTGATTTTACAGTCTGATGACTATATGCCTTGGTGGTCCTTCTTGCAATCAATCTCCCAGGAGTTGTACTTCTTATATCTGGATGTCTAAATCTGTAGCAAGACCAGGAAAATTTTCCTCAATTCTTCCCTCAAATAGGTTTTCCAAATCTTTTTTTTTTTCTTCTCCCTCCAGAATTGCTATGATTCTTAGGTTTGAATGTTTTATATAATCACATATTTCTTGGAGTCTTTGTTCATTTAATTTTTTTTTTATTTTTGTGTGACTGGGTTAATTCAAAGTCTTGTCTTCAACCTCTGAGATTTTTTTCTTCTTCTTGGTCTAGTCAACTGTTAAAACTTTCCACTGTATTTTTTGATTCCCTAAGTGAGTTTTTCATTTTCAGAAATTATGTTTTAAGTATCTATCTCTTTATAACATTTTTCATTCATATCCTGAATGGTTTCATTTCTTTGTGCTGGTTTTCAACTTTCTTTTGGTTCTTTATAATCAGTTTTTTGAATTTTTTATCTGGTATTTCAAAGATTTCATTTTGGTTTGGATTCATTGCTGGAGAGTTAGTATGGTCCTTTGGGGGTGTTGTTAAAACTGTTTACATATTACCAGAATTCTTTCTCTGATTCCTTCTCATCTGGATAGTCTATTTCTTCTTATTTTTGAATTTTCTTTCAATTGTGTTTGTTGAATTTGTTTTTCCTTGCCCATTAAGGATGTGATTATAATGTGTATTATTTATGACAACCTGGCTTCAGCTCTGGGTGCTCTCTGTGGCAAAGACTCTGTATGAGTTCTTCGGTTATAAATAATCTTTGTGTGATAGCTTTCTCAGGTGACCCTTGTAGTAGCAATGTACTGGGTGTGCGAGCAGGTTCACTGCCTCCTGTGGGGCTCGAATGGCAGAGTTGTCATGAAGCTTATCTAGTTTCCCAGTGTTTTGCGCTTTTCTTTTCCAGCACGTTTTACACTGGGTCAAGCAGTTCAGTCTGCCGGCCAGTAAATGGCACTCATGGGTAAAAACCGGGTATGGCAGAAGCAGGTGGGTATATGGGATACCTCAACTGCAGGCAAAAGCCCGAGCCCTGTGAAGGTAGTGCGGAGAGCTCCTGGTGAAATGCACTGAGGTCTCTGCAGGGGGAAAGGAGGGAGCTACCTCAACTCTACTATATCAAGCCAGCAGGAAAACAATCTGCCTCCCCATCATGCCTGTTTTGGTGCTCAGGATATAAAGATCAAACTGACACTACGGTCTATCTGCAGAATGCTGCCATTTCAAGTAGAGAGGCAGAGGGACTCCACCCCTTGTGCAAGCCTGAGCCTGGAGGACACACCTCCAGTGTGTAGCTGCTCTGAAATGCCCTAGATAGGCTGTCCACACTGGGCTCCTAAAGGAGAAGCCCCACCTGTGTCCCCAGTAGTGAGCAAGGGGGAGGGCGAGTCCACTTCTCCACTTTCCTTCACAAACACCAGGGCTGCTCAACCTCTAGGGCAGAACTACAGCCTTATCCCACAAATCCCAGCACAGAGCCTGTGCATCTGCTGAAAGAGGTGCAAGCAGTTCCTGCCCACAGGCAGGAAGTTCTGGGACATAGAAAAGCACATGCTCTGGTTTCCTTTGTCCCATGTGCTGCTCCCTGGGTGGGGTACTCCCACTTCCTACTCTCTGAAGGCTACACCACTGGAATCCCTGCTGCTCCTCTGGATCTAGCTTCCCTGTGGAGCTGCGGCAATCCCAGCAGGTCCTGGGAAATATCTCTAGGGAGATCTGGTGGAGTTAAGACACAATAGTTGAAGGTCCCTGGGCAATACAAAGTCCCACAACAGGTGTGAATCCAGTATGGCACCTGCCACCACAGCTTGGGTACCAGGGAAAAGCAAGGGACCCTGTACGAATTGGAAGCCTGATGTAACGCCTCAAGAAGTCCCCAAATCATAGTGCGCTCTAGTACTTGGGCTCCCAAGGGCAAAAACTTCCAATAATTATTTTATAAATTATATCTTTAAATTATATGCTATCTTTTCTATTAATAAAATGATTTACTAACCCCTCCTCTTTTGGTAAAAGTCCTCAATTTCTATTAATAAAAGAGATTATGGGCTCTCTTTCTATAGGTTAAGAAATCTTTGATTTCATATGCATATAGTCACTGTAGGGAAAATAAATAGAACTATAATTAGTACTATCAATGGGAGGGTTATTTGCAAAAAATGAGTTATTTTAAAAGGGAATATTCAATATAAACGCTAGGAACCAGAGGAGTGATGGAAAAACAGTAACTTGAATCAGATCAAATCAGGTTCAAATCTTGGCTTTGTAACTTTAGGCAAATAATTGCCCAGATATTTGGTTTTCTCATCTTTTTACTTACAGCCAAAACAAAGTGACTCATATCGTATTAGTTCATTTTACCAAATGTTTAGAATAGTTCTTTTAAAAATCACAGGGTGAAAAAAAATTATAATTTCTTCCTTAAAACACTGGAGAGATGCAAAAGGGAAGAAATAATACAAATAAATATGGTATGTAGATTTTCAATATAAAAGTACCATTGAACAAAATGAACACAATGTTTCTTAATGTCATTAAACTGCACTTATAATCAATCATAATTGTATTGTTAGGTAACAGGGAGCTGTAATAAATTAAGGCATCTTGATATTTCTTTGGCAGTCACTACAGTACATCACTGGCTTCATATTCTTATCAAACAAGTCTAAGCACTCCAAAGCAGGAGTATTCAAACTGTAGTCCTTGGGCCAAATCCAGCCAATGTCCTCTTTGTGTTTATACAGTTTTATTGGAACACAAACAGGTTCCTCAATTACATATTATCTACAGTTGCATTCAGGATACAAGGCAGAGGTGAGTAATTGCAACCACGTGGCCCACAATTTTTTATTATCTGGCCCTATAAAGAAAAAGTTTCCCAATCACTGCTCTAAAGCACTGCTACCAAAGGCTTGGTTTGCATACCTGAATTGCTTGCTCCTGACTGGAGATGAGATAATTACCACTAATTTTAACATGAAATTTCTCTGAACAAGTATACAATTTCTAAAGGCACCAAAGGTAATCTGAATCAAGCAGTGATCTGAAAAATAAAATTATTCAGGGACATATTTTTATTGCAAATATTTACTCAAAAACTACTATATACAGCAGAATTTTAATAGTCATTTAAAACATATAACATTCAGTGAAACAAAACTGAAGAATTCAAAGCACATTTGAAGTAAAAATGTAGCATTTTAAATAAAAGTTTATTAGTACTTCAAAGCAAACTACTGTTCTTCATATTATTCATTTCTATATCTATTATTTTCTAGACGATAAAAAACAACTGAAAAGTCAATTTAGCAGCCGTCTTATGGATAAATTAGGCTAAATTCCCAAAACCAATTTTTTACATCACTGCTTTAGGTCCCATTTGAAGTTTCTATTTTACAATTAAAGAAAAGTCACTTAAACATGGCTGAATACATTTCAGGAAATGTTTTCAGTTTACTGCTTTACAATATCTACATTATACCATACTTTGGTTTGGCTTCCAGCCCATTTTTATGGGTCTATTTCTAAAGAAGATCATTAAAACCATATTAAAAGCATAATAGCTACAGGAGTTTCTACAATGGGTTTCTACTTTATACAACTAGTACATCGAGGAGTTTCTACACAGCTTACACAGACAAAAAAGCACAAATATAAATTTATATTTTAATAATTTCACTTTCACTGAAAGTTTAATTAAGGTAAGCTTACAGCCTGGCAGGCTAACACTTGTATGGAGGTACACAGATTCAAATATTCTGTTTACATGCTTCTGACAGACTGGAATGTTATATTAAATCCAAAATTAAGTTTATGTTGATCCAAATTCTCATTAGATCAATTTAGCACTCTAAGCATGCTCCATTTACCAGTATCATATGCAAAATAAAGCCTTTATTAACAATGCCAATCAGCCATTATTTTAAATCAATTATTTCCAAAAGGTACAAAGTTTCCAAATCTCTTCCTTTAAGTTAATTAAAAAAGGTATATAGGTAATAAGGATTTATTTAAGGACTGATAGAAGTTTGAAAAGTTTTATTACTATAACTAATATTCTTAAAATCAACTCATATTAGCAACTAAGTCCCATTTCCTCAAAAACTATTAAATGAGATCTTTCTGTTGAAAACTTAACTTTCTTTAAAATCCTATTCATGTTTTTAAAAACTTCTTAGAAATCCATGCTAATAGTGCTATTATTGGTGAATTGACTTGCTTAATAACCCATTTTGAACACACAGGTAAAACGTATGAATGACCTCCCTCACATTTTTCTGTTTCTGAACTCCACACCACCACCACCAAGTTCACCTCATAGCAGTGTTCCAAATGCCCTTACCGTTGGTATACTAAAACTTAGAATGACGAATTTCAACTTCTTTCTTTTCCATCTGCCAGGTCCACTGTTGTCTCTGTTGTGCTAGGGTTATTTTCTTCAGGAATGTGATCTGTTTGCTCAGACACTACTTCATCAGTCTTGGCTGAAGGATCACCACTACCTTTTTGAAGAATCTCTGTGGCTTCATACTCAAGTACCTCTGATGGAGTCAGAGGTTCCAAATGAATACTGCCTTGCTCGCTAACATCAGAACTAACAGATTCAGGTTCATCTCTTCTCCTTAAAAACTGATCAATGCTAACATCACCTGATGTTAACCGCAAATCTTTAATATTCTTTGAAGAAAATTTAGCTTTGCTGGAGTTGTAATCTTTAATCTGATCACATAAATTTATGTTTTCTGAACTTTGGCACATCTTCAACTCCATTTTCTGACAAACATGCTGTATTTGTTCTTTCTTTTCCCCTTTATCTGCACCAATATTTGAGTCACAATTAAAGATTTTCTTCGAGCCAGTTTTCTGGTCTGCAAGACAGGTAACATTTTCCTTATCTGAAACCGATACTAGACTTTCTTCACTTTTTGTTGCCAATGAGCCTTCAAATAAATTTGCATCACATTCATTTTTTTCTTCTGAAAAAGCAGCTTTATCTTGTTTACTGAAAAAATAAAGCCATTTATTATCTATTCCATCATAAAACAATATTTTTGAACACTATCAAAATAAAGATACACTCTAAAAAATAAAAAAAGTCAAGGTACATTTTCCTACCCAAAAGGAAAACAAATCCAAGTCCCTAGTCCTTGCTGTGACATTACAATTTAGGAGGAAGCCAATTCCTTAGGCAAGATTGTGAGAGAAACTCTGGAGTCATATATTAAAAGGAGACCTGGGGAGTCCATCAACTGGTTTTAGTCCTGGCTGTCATTATTTTCATCTGTTCATACCTCTTGTTTATTTTTAACTAAAATTTAAGTGTTGTTGTTAATTTGTAAGAGCACCTAAAATAAGGAATATATTTGGAAAAAAAATCTATTTTTCTTCTATGATTTAAACTATCTTATGGCTGGAATGTCTTTCCCTATGCACAATTAGATAAGCATTCATAAACATTTCCTTAAATTTTAATAGCCTAATTTAAAATATATAAACACGTCTGAAAAAAGTATGTATAAACATACAACATACATATGTTTGCACATATATTTATTTTTGTGTGTGTATTTGACCCTGGTGTGTTAAGAGAAACTATTTAGTGAATCGTAAAATATCAGAAAAAGATTTCTAAGATCTCCAGTTCCTTATCCAGATCTAAGGATGCTTATTCTACCAAAAATAAATTTAACGATCATATATACCTTATGTCTCACATTTAATCCACCTAAAATTTGGACTTTTTCCTAATGAATTGCACAAATATCCAAGGAACATTTTCAAATGGTCATTTATTATTTACTTTGTTATTATCTCTATAAGGTTATTTCTCTGCTCTTTATAATATTTTGTTCTACTGATCTATCTTTATACTATTCCTGGGCCAATAGTACACAGTTTTAACAATTGTTGATTGACAATGTACTTATTATCACTCACATTCTACAACTCTTCCCCATAAATTTCATAGTGTAAAAATGTAAAAGATATTTGTCAAGGATGCTCATTAAAACAATGTTTGAAATAGTGAATACAGAAACAATCCAATATTCGATAACAGAGGAATGAGTAAATATATTTATGTTATTAATAAATGGAAAAATATTTATGTTATTTTAAGGCTATCAGCATCTAAAACAAATCTGATTGGGATTTTCAGCTAAATGTTTATTAAATCCATAAATTAATTTGTAAAATGGTCTGTCATGCAAGTTAACGTATTATTTTCTATCACAGTATATTTTCGCTTTTCTTCATTTAGCTTCTATAAATTTCTCATTTTTGTTACTAATGTGAATGAACTTGTTTGTCCATTATATTCTGTAATCATATGTTAGTGGTATATTATAAAGATCCTTATTTTTATACCAAGCTACCTTAACTAATACTTTCATTGATTTCAATCATTCTT